GAAGAAGCTCATTGTCTTACCTGATGCAAATAATCCAGTCCACGAAGACTATAGTGCAAAACAGTGGCGATTTCATCCTCACCGAGGGTTTTCCCACGTAGTCGCATGATGTCAGCAATGGAACCGGCACCACAATATTCCATGCAAATCCATAAGTCCTGGCTGTCGAACATGCTTCCGTAGCATTTCACAATGAAAGGACTGTCACACTGTTGCATGATGGATATTTCTTTAACAATATCTGTCAAATCACTATCTACAGGAACCTGATTCGGATGTAAAAAGTTAGCAATGAGAAGGAAGTTAGCTTAGTACTAATGAACTGGAAGTATGCAACAACTCCGACTCAAGTCATCTAGGAAGTCAACGACTACATTATATCTGACAGATCCTCCCTCATGGTATAAAGAAGCAATACCACTATATCACAACAGTGATCAACGCATGCAAGTAAGCCCAAAAGAGTGAGTGATCATGGTGATAATGACAATGATTAGGTTGATTAGTGTGCTGCGCTTTCATTGTGATTTTGTTGTTTTGAAAAAAGGTTTTCATTACCTCGGGGGAGACAGGGGGAAGTCATTATCGTTAATGGGATAAGTCAGCACGGTCGTGTATCAGGAAAGCATGCGTGACTTCCCAGTGATATAGACACTGCATTAAAGCGGTTGACAGAAGAAACAACGAACAATGTTAGCGAATTCCGACAGGGAATGACAGTCCGGACCAGGTGACTTGTGTCGAGCAGGAAAAGAGCTAAGCACATATGTCTGGTTATGTACTGTGGAACATTGAAGGTTAGGAAAGATTTAAATGACTCCTACCATCGCTTCGTGCAAGCTAGAGGCAGATGCTCGACAGCCATTCAGGGAACTTCGTCTTGTCCACCATCGGTAGCCGATAATTTTGGTCCCTTGTCAAAGCAATTCCCCGTAATTTTTGTTCTTCAAGCTTCCCATTATCTGTAATTGCTCTGATCTTGTGTTTCCAGCTTTACGTTAACTCCAACTTACCTAATTATCCTACCTACATACTTCTTATTTCACTGGTAACCCTTTCCTTCCTCTTATTATTACCAGGATAATCCGCCAAACATTGCGCTCTCTAAATGCAAACAAACCACCCGGTCCGGACGGTATCCCATTATCCTCAAAATGTGTGCTCCAGTCCTGGCCCCCATTTCACGTCGTCTTTCTAGTCTTTCCCTCCAAATGTATGCCTTTCCAGCCCCCCTTCCCCCCCCCCCGGAGGCACACCGTAACTTTTCCCTTTCCCAAACATCGGGCCCTTTATGACCCCAACAATAACCAACCCAGTTCTCTCACATCCATTCTTTCGAAAGTATTTGAAACCATCAGCCCCGACCAATTGCGCACGTTCCTCAAATGCGAAGGACCACTAAGCGACCGAAATCGCCGTTCCACCGGTGACTTTCTGGCTCATGTCTTACAATCCTGGTCGGCTGCACTCGATAACCAGGAAGAAACACACTTGTTCACGCTTGACGTCCTAAAGACCTTTGACCGAGTTTGGCACTAAGGTCTATTGGCGAAACTGTCTACGATCGGGTTCCCCCAGCTCTTGTAGCATGGATATAAAGTTTCCTTAGTAAGCGAACCATCTCCGTCCGAGTTGACAGGGTTCCATCTTAGACGTTTCTTTGACTGCCGGCGTTTCCCAAGGTTCAGCATTTTCGCCCACTCTCTCCTTCCCAAAACTATCAACCCAGTCCATTCTTTTTGCCGATGACGCCACCCCTCACTGCTCCTTCTACTACCACATTACTCGCCATGGCCAAACCACCATCTATCGTGACCGTATAGCAGTTATTGTGTCACTGCACACCGACCCTGAACACTTCTCCTCCTGGGGCAATGGCAACCACGTTTCATTCAATGGTTCTAAAACCTCTGCTTTCAACTTCTCTAAAACACCATTGATTCCTCCTTTCCCACCCCACACACACACTTATTTTTTGAGTTCACCCAACCGCGTTCCAAAAACCCTATTTCCCTTCTTGGTTTGCCTATAAATTCTTCTTTATGTTGGTCCCCTCTTATAGCTCAACTTGCTCTTCGTGCTGCGCGCAAGGTTGGCTTTTTATTCCGTGCCAGACACTTTTTCACCCCAACTCATCTTCTGTTACTGTACAAAGCCCCAATTCACCCTGCTCTTGAATACTGTAGTCACGTGTAGGGTGAGGTTTCGTCTGCTGCTTCCTTTCTTAATCGTGTTTAACGAAAGGCCATCCAATTTATCGATGGGCCTTCTCTAACACAATATGCAGTCACTAGTCCATCGTCGGTGAGTAGTTTCATTGTCCTTCCTCTGCCGTTACTACTTTGTTTTTTCCCGTACCGAGCATGTCTCGGCAGTTCCTGTTCTAGTAAATTTTGCACGCCCATTCCGTACACGAGTAACAAGTCATCATCATCATATTTTCATCCCCAAACGTCATACTTTTCCGTGCCAATCCTCTTTTCTTTCCCGAACTACCAAGTCATGAAACACCCACACACAATGTAACATTCAATCAACTTTTAATCTTGTGCTCTTTAAACGCAGAATCGATAAACTAGATGTTACGAGAATGTTCCCCAACTATGCCTCTTACAGTATGCTTTTTCTCTATGGAGATCTCCCCTCTTGCTGTAATTCAGTGTGTAATAAAAAAAACTGCGCGAACCAAGGATTGTTCCTACCAAACACCAACACATCGCAAAAGAAACGGCACTGCCTTGCATAGGAACCACCAACCTCCTCACAGCGAGTATCTTGGATACAAAACCCATTGACGGCTAGGGTCTGGAGGGTACGAGCTAAACATGTCTGTTTTGCATCAGGGTACGCACGCTGAATGTGGTTAGTTTGAACGGGCGCCGAGGACGAAGAAGAGCTTCAACTGATGGAGAAGGATTCGGCATGATCATCATCATCATCGTACAGCGAAATACAGTGGAGCAAACTTCACTGATCGCTGCCAAACTCGCAATGCATACAAGATTAGTGGTAAAATTTATGGTGGATAGGGATCGGACTTAATTTGAGAGAGTGAACCACTATGGTCAACACACAGAGTGCACAATCGAACTATGCATACATACCGTTTCAAGCGTTCTGGCCCGATAAGAAATGACAAGAACGCCACTGCTTTCGGTTCACTGCCATATCCTTCAATGTCTCCAACTAACCGGTTGTGGAGTCTTTTGGACCCCAACCTGGAATTGGAGAGACACCTACTCCACCTAATTGCTCTGTGCAATTTTTCATGCCTCGTCTCCACGTCATCTGTTGACCTCCACACGGTTTCCTCCAGCCCGGATTAACTACAGCGAATAAAGCGCGGTGCAGCAGACGATGGCTGGGTATACGTAATACGTGCCCTAGCCAGCGAAGTTTACTAATCTGAATTCGGTGTGCTAGCAGGTTTATCCCTGATAGACTCCCAAACGTATGACGCCTTACCTCTACGTTACTTACCCGTTCGCTCCATTCCATCGGTGACACTTGGAAGATATTCGAGGCAGGGCATGAGAGAATAGGGCCACATTGAACGTGCGTACCCTAATTCGCATAGTACAACAGGCATGTTTAGCTCGTACCCTCCAGACCCTAGCTATCAGTGGGTTGTATCCACGAAACTCGCATTCAAGACTCCAGCTATACCATCGGATTGACATCCCCACCAAACTCATCCGCGAGGTTTCACTTGCGTCTTTCTGGGGACCCTGAGGCTGCGGCTTCTGGTCTCGCTCGCGCTGGCGTGGCTCTCAGAGAGAGAGAGAGAGAGAGAGAGAGAGAGAGAGAGAGAGCTGAGGCCGCGCTCCTAGATTGGATCGCAGTCGACGGTAGGTTAAGCGCAATGAGACTTAGAAGCTTGTGCAAAGTAAACAGTCGTCGCTCCGAGAGACGCATCTTGTTTGTCCCCTCTGCGTACACTCCCACCAATTGTAGCTCAGATACAGTTAAAGATACCTTTTACCAAAGGTTAAATGACCTCTTGCGTAAAGCCAATTGGGCTGATATCGTGATTTCAGCAGGAGATTTGAATGCTTGAGCAGGTCGGCTGACTTTTCCTTTCGCTCTGCAAACGGGGAACGGCTTTTGTTCTGACAACCACTTATTCCTTGGCAGTATGAACTTCAAGCGATTCAAGTGCCGGTACGCCACTTGGCGTCCATCATCCTCGAGTCGGCGACAAAAGCAGATCGACCAAACCACCATAAACATCAAATTGCGGGGTTGCATACAACACTGATGATCATACTGGAGCACTCCTCTTGAATCCGATCACACATTAGTTTGCGCCAAGCCGTCCATGTGCTTCGGTGGGCGTTCTAAACGCAAGACACAGCGACGGTTAGATGGCGACAAGTGATCTCAACCACCATTCTTCGTAGATTTTGCAAGACGAGCGAGCAACAGGCTGTTTCGCTCCAGTCGTGGCTGTATCGATTAAATCTTCATCCTCCGACAGTTGCTAGAGCACCGCCATGTTTACCACAGACCAAAGATTATTATGCTCCTAGACATTCGCGCGGCCTTCAATTCTGTCGATGGGACCACACTGTGTATCTGTGTTTAGAAATGGAGTACATGAGAGGTCACTGTCGATCCTCAAAGAGTTGTATCGTCTACCTCAGGTCGGGTTGGGGATTATGGCCACTATTCGCCACCCTTCGCCGTCTCCAGTGGAGTACGAAAAGGTTGCCCTATATCTTCATTCCTCTTAAACTTCGGTATAGAGGATGTTCTGCAGGACGCTTTGTTCGGTTCAGCAAACGGTGGGGTCGAACTCGCCCCAAGGAACAAAATTCGTGACTTAGAATATGCCAATGGCATCGCCTTGTTGGGAGACAATGCACAGGCAGTCCAACAAGCCTTAAACCACTTGGCGATCGAGGTATTCAAATATGGTATGTGCTTTACATTTCCCAAGTGCAAAGTGCTTGTTCAAGACTGGTAGGAGCCTGTGCCTGCACTCACTCTTTGTGGTAATCAGCTGGAAGTGGTCGAGAGCTTTAAGTACCTCGGGAGGTTAATCACAGTTGGCGGTGGGGTTGGGGAAGAGATCACATCACGAATAGCGAAAACTACAGCAGCTTTCGTCAACCTGCGACACCTATGAGGCCGCCATGACATCTGACTGCCCCGCGGTTCGTAGTGTTCTGCTTCACGTTTGCGAGACGTCACCTCTCCGAACCGAGGACGATAATCGACTTCGTATTCGATCACCGATGCCTTCGAAGCATTGCTAGTGTCTGGTGGGAATATTGGGTGATCAATGACGAAATTCGTCATCGTGTGCTAAGTACTGATAGGCGTTCTCTCAGGGAAGTCATCGTTCTGCACCGCCTCCGCTGGCTTGGTCATGTTTTGCGCATGCCTGCCCATCGTCTGCCTCTGCGTGCTCTCTTTGCACGTGATGGGCAAGGTTGGAGGAAG